GCGGAGTCCAGTGGTCCTCACTGGGCACGCGGACGCTTCTTGGGCAGACGACCAGGCTACACAGCGGTCGTCGCAGGGTTACACCTTCAGTCTTGGTTCCGGCTCTGTCTCGTGGCGGGCTACTCGCTCGTCCTCTGTTCTCAGCTCCAGTTGTGAGGCTGAGATCTACGCCGGGGCCATGGCTGCACAGGAGCTTCGTTGGCTCACCTACCTGCTGACTGACCTTGGAGAGCCGCCTCGTTCTCCTCCAGTGTTGTACGTAGACAACAAGGCCATGCTGGCCTTGTGTCGAGAGCAGCGCTTGGAGCACAGAACGAAGCACATTGCTCTCCGTTACTTTCTTGCTCGTGAGCTGCAGCAGCGTGGTCAGTTGCGACTTGCGTACGTGGCCTCTGAGGCCAACACTGCTGATGTGTTCACCAAGGCACTTGCGCCTTGTGACCATCAGCGCTTCTGCACCCAGCTGGGTCTTGTACCTGTCTTGCCTCACTTGCTCTCTTCTTGACCTTGCTTGTACTGTCACATATATATTCCTGCTCTTGCTTGTCTAGCTCTATATATATATGTGTACTCCTGCATGTGAACTGGCCCTGTTGCCCTGTCGTTGTGCTCGGACTGTGTGGTGACTTTGTGATCCACCCTGAGCTTGCTCTGCTTTGCTTGACTGGTCTTGTGACCCCTTGTTCTCCCCCACTTTGCCTATGGGGGTGTGTCAGAACATATATATAGCTTATGCTGTTGTGTAGGCTATAGTGGGGTATCCCATAGGGGGTACAACCCAATTAGGGTTTCCCATATGTACTCACTTCATTCATAGTTCATTCATTCTCGTTCTACTATTCTCATAAGGATCTACTGTATGTAATTCGCCCACATTGCTTTTGAAGACCAGTCTCTTAAGATCTGTTTGACTCAAACCAAACATGTTCGGTTTGACTACAGAGGTGTTCGATTGTGTTTGTTTTGTTGCAAGTGAGTAATGTTTATCAGGTTGAAGAAAGAAAGAAACACAAATCAAAAGTCTTTGTTCTAGAAACAACAGCCAATTTTCACCTATTTGCCGTCGGTTCATAGGGTCGGGTCGTCTGTTGGCAGATACGTTCTTGTGACAGGTGGGTGGGGGGGGGAGAGAGGGTGAAGGGGGGGGGGGGGGGGGGGGGGGGGGGGGGGGGGGGGGGGGGGAGGGGGGGGGCATAGGTGCGGAGGGTGTCACATGGGAGAGAAACCTCTGAATGGGTTGTCAGTGACTTTGCTTGGCAAAATATCAAAATCGCTCCCGTTGGTTCGCGATTTTGCATGGCAACATCGCTCCCATTGGTTCCTCCAACGTTGTAACTCGCGAGCGTCTTCTCACGTGGGGTCGACCCAAAGTAGACATGTGCATCGGACCGAGTCAAGTAAAACTCGGCCAAGTTCGAGCTCGAGTCGGGTAAAACTCGGTCGGCCTTTTTTTACTAGGTGGCGGATTCAACACTCGCCTATGATGGACCAAATTTTAAAAAACTCGTCGAGATTTTTAGGTACACTCGGTCGAGCCGAGTAAAACTCGACTCGGGGTAGGGTAGGGGAGGGGCGGGGGGGGGGAGGGGGGGGGAGGGGGGGGGGGGGAGGGGGGGGGGGGGGGGGGGGGGGTAAGGTGGGGAGGGATACACTAAACATAAGTTGGGCTTGAGACCCAGGGAAACATGGGCTTGCGTTTCACCTCTGGAAACCTAGACCTAGGATGCCCCGAAAGCGAACTTATGTTTAAGAACAAAAAACAGCCATGCGTTTGGCTGTATCGGCTCTGGATACCACTAACGATGCATAGGAAGAGTCATACCCGAAATCGCGATCTACAAATGATCCCGCCAAACTTCAATTTTCACAATTTGTACGTGGACCCCACTGTCGCGACGAGTATTTCATAGACTCGTAGAGTCCAGAAGACTCGACGAGTCTGATAAAACTCTATTCGGAGCCCGAGCTTCCACCGAGTTAAAAAAACAACTTGACGGGTCAAACTCGACTCGGCCCCGTCGAGTTTTTCCAGCCGGATTCTCGGACTCGAAACTCGACCCGTAACGAGTCCCCCAATCGAGTAGAGTTCTGAAACTCGACTCAATGCACATGTGTTATCCAAAGCACAAGTAGTAGGCCCCACTAATTGAGTGCTATGTTAGGAGCCATGTAGTTAGGTGATGAGAGAAAGATTCGACCAGACATTTGTCATAATTCAAACCATAGAGCAGGTTGGGTCGTGGTGAAGCTTATTCCAGCACTATCTTGTTTGGCATGTTGTCAATTTTGTTCAAATTCGATTTCGGGTTCTATATCATTCATTAGGTTCTGGTGGACATTGGGGGGGGGAGGGTGGGGGAGGGGGAGGAGAGAGGGGAAGATGCAAACATAGGTTGTCAGTGACTTTGCTATGCAAAATAGCAAAATCCCTCCCATTGGTTTGTGATTTTGCATTGCAACATCGCTTCCACTGGTTCGTCCACGCTGCAACTCCTGAGGCGACCCAATGCCGAACACTTAGATGCCATGCCGAACACTTAGATGTTTGACCCGACCTCAAACATGTTCCAACTCTGAGCTCCATTCATCATTCAACATAGCCTAAATCAATGGTACAAATTCGATTTCTCTTCCCTAAGAGACACTAATGCTACTCGGTTTGAACATCTGCATTATGAGAAACGATAATCGGGTCCTCGGTAAATCACCTTGAACAGCCAAACATAATCGGGTCGAAAATCAACAGGTTGGACCCAAACACTTTTAGCTCAAATGAATGTTTGAGTCGAACCGAAGAGGGGTTCAAGACCTTTTTCATGTCTGTGGTGAAGATCAACGAGAGTGTTTTTCACAAGTAGCGTTCGATCGACTCCAGAACCTCCCTCTAGGTGGATTTTTTTGCTGTTGGTGTCGACCAGACATGGAAAACAGCGAGGCGAGTAATACTCGCCTCGTTTTGGGCCCAGTCGTTATAAAAACGAGGTGACGCGGGTATTACTCGCCCCAGTTTAATTGCCAATTTCCCTAATCGTTACTCGCCCAAACGGGCGAGTACTTTCTTACTCGCTACGAGTAAATAAGTACTCGTGGCGAGGCAAGTAATACTCGCCTCGCCTCGCCTTAAGAATGAAGTGCTAGAGTAGACTCAGAGGGGGGCCCGCGAGCTATATATTGAAGGGTCGATGCTACGGTTCGGAGAAGGTAGACTAGATCTACTTCAACGACGATCTGTCAAATAGTCGGGGGGGTTGGGTTTTGTAGATTCTGAGCGATGAAGAGTGGTAAATGGCGGCAAATCTGATGGGAACTTCAGGCAAATTCGTTGGGAGGGGGGGTGCAATTCCAAATTTGTTAACAATCTGGGTATCGCGTCGAAAATGCAAATCGCGATCTCACGCGCTCATATTCTCTTTTGGCCTCTGGCGTCTCCCAACGACGGATGGAAACCAACCAACCAATGTAGCGGGCCGGGCAATTCGACTGGGCCGGGCTCTGTTGTGCCAACACATTATAATGGCGGTCATCACACTTCCGTTCATTGCACTCCCATTCAGCCTACAAGAAACCAACGCAGCGTCCCGAGCCAGTTGGACTGGAACGGCCTCAGGAAGGCCTAGGCATTAGCAAATGGCGAACATGAACAGGTTCGGTTCGAACAGGCGAACTTTCTTGGAGGGAGGTGTTCGAGTGTTTAGACTGCGCATGTTTGTCTGGCAATGCCAAATGTGAACTAACTTCACTGTGGGTGAGTGTGGTGGAGTATGGACTTTTCATGGTGAGCATAATACAAGGGGAATGTGTAGCTGCTGAGAGTTGAACCCTCGACCTCTATGACCAAAGGTGAGAAACTACCCACTGGGTCATACTTGCTGCACAACACATTTGTTCACCACTAGGGTCTGAGATTCGAACTAAGAAGCTCCTATTCCATCCTATTCGATTCAGGTCATCAGGACCAGAGCCGGTTCTGGTTCGGTTCATTTCATGCCTCTTAAGTGGGAGATTAGGTGACAATAGAAAAGGTTGAGCTGAGTAAAACATCAAGATACACGGTCACCCAAATGAGTTTGTTTCGAGCTGGTTCGAACTGTTGTTGAGACTGGATTGAATCAGTTCGGTTCGGATCGAACGGTTGTAGGCATGTCAGCAGTTCAAGGTTTGCTTTCGAAAGTCGAACATCGCAACGTACGAGCGAGTCGAACCTGAACTGAACATCTGGTTCTTCATCCTCCTAATCCTCTCCTCTAACCCTCTGTAGGAAGGATGAGCACAAGGACGAACTTGCTTCTGCCAAACTGGCATAGTAAGGATTTTGGTGGCTTTGTGAAAGTCGAGCCGGGCCAGCTAGTCCCGAGCCGCGGCCCAATGCGAACCTATAACATAATTCAAGCAGATGAATTTTGTAAGCAAATCTAGCATTTGAATTGTGCACCATTCTTCTGTATCACCATCATGCCTTTAGCCACGGTTCGTGTCTGCTCAATGTTAACGACCAAAGCCCTTACCCAACATGGTACTCGATCCGTCCTCATTCTCCCGGTGTATCCTTCCCATTGCTCCACTAACATCCTTCCTTCTCACCACCATGGCCACCAGGTCTCTCGCCTTCAACCAGCTGTATGGGTGCATACCAAGCACTCTCACCCAGCTCACGCAGCTGAAATTCTTGTACGACCCATGCATCACCACTCTTTTTCGATTGCTCTGGTGGTCTCCCTCTTGTACATGTGCATTTAATCACAGATGAATGCTCATTGCACTTCCAAATCCATGATGTCCGCAAGCCACAGGAGCACATGCCGTACCATGCATGCTCATGTTGCATGCATTCTGATTGCACTTTCTCGCCTCGCTGCCTTGCCATGCATGCCCTCTAATCACAATGGTCAATAAGATTTATTATGGAGAAATAACGAGAAAGTTCAAAGGTGAGGTAAAATAACATTGAACACTACCCAGTACCAGTTAGGAATCAAATCGGTCAATAGAACACCACATGAATGCCCGTGGTTGCCGTGCCAGTGCCCTGTATACCCATCTTCACATCCCTCGGATTGCTTCCTCGTTTCTCTCTTCCTCATTTCTCGGATTTCTCTCTTCCCTGGTCTCAATCAACCAACCATTCTCGCATGCCTCTTCTTCCTCTCCCTCTTCTGTATCCTTCTCTTCCACCTCACCTTCCCCTTCTGCTCCCCTTCACGTTGACTCCTCATTCTTCTCCACTGCCAGCCCGTGTCAATCCCCTTCTGCTCCCCCATCCGGATACCCATTCTTCTCAACAACCCCTCACATCTTCGCTCCCTGCACTCCACTTTTTTTTATCCAGATGCATTGAGGCGATCCCTACCCATCCTTCTCCCGGCACTTGCACTTGCACCTCCTTCCCGCAGAGACCTCTCTCACAACTACCTCACAGGCCGCGCACTGAAGCCCCTTGCTGCGCGAACCCTATATCTCTCCAGCAACTTCCTCTCGGGCCCTCTACCCGACGGGGCATGCCAGCCTCGCTCTTTTGATGCCAACTGCTTCACGTTGCCGCTTGGCTGTGCCTTGGTGCCCCAGCGACAGGAGGCAGCATGCAATCCATTCTGTGGCGTCTCCTCTGCTGCTGGTGCTACTGCTGCTGCTGCGTGTGGAGGACATGGGGTGTGCTATCCAGAGGGGGATAGCTTGGCACCCACATGTCTGTGTGATGCAGGATTCGTGCAATTTGGAGGGATCACCTGTGTTGCTCAAGGTAGGGGACACCACTTGAAATCTATGAAACATGACCTCATACAGATTTACAGAATGGTGGAACGTCCAACTCACGTGAACTCCAGTACCTTGTTGATCGAAATTCTTATCATGCCTCCATATTGTTGGAGGTAGACTTCCACCTCACGTTTTGTACTTGCACTTTTTATGTCCTACTTTAGAGTAGTAGTTTTTGTTGTTGGGTGTTACACCAATATCCCAACCCAACCCAAATGTGATGTGATCAACTGAAACCTTCAACCCCACCAACAGTGAAAGGTTTCAGCCGACCTCATTGGGAGTTGCCCCCGATCCCCTGCCCATCTGTTCCCACCCATTTTCTAATGTACTTAGAATCCTTGAGCTCCTTTATTCAATCAATCAATTCTCGCTCAAGTTCTTACACATATCCCAGTCCTATCCATCCGTCTGTCATGTTTGTGCAGGCCAGAACAAAAACTACTCAAGCAGTCAGGCGGTTCTCCCACCAGCATCTATACTCACCAGGGGGGGGCAGCGCGAGACGAAGGGGAACTTCACCGCAGAGCCGGTGAAGTTGTTTGTGTACGAGGCACATCAGGGACTTTCGCGGTGTGGGCTGCAGCTCGCCTTTCACGCCAACTTAACCTTCTCCCTCTCGCCTCGATATGGCCGCGTGGGCTTCAACGGCTTAGCATTTGTCATCTCGGCAACGGACCAGGTGGGGAGTGGCGCTGGTGTGGGGTATGGTGGAATGGACACACGGAGCATGGCGGTGGAGTTTGACACTCTGCGGAACAAGGAGCATGGCGACATGAGCAGCCAGCATGTGGGGCTGAACGTTCGAGGCGAGGACAAATCGCTAGTCGCTGTGAGGTCGCCCTTCCCTCTGAGCAACAGGAAGGCGTACACGGCGTGGGTGGACTATGAGCCAGGAGACCCCGGTACCATCCAGGTCTTCCTGGCTGACTCGCAGGAGAAGCCGCAGCAGGCGGTGCTGGAGTGGAGGCTGGCGCTGTGTGAGGTGCTGCAGGGTGCAGTTGATCAGCCCGCCTTCTTCTTTGGCTTCGTGGCGTCCACCACTGTGAAGCCGTTTCAGCGGCACGTCATTCTTGAATCGACAGTGGATACAGGTAAGCAGTGTGTGCCGGCAGGGGGATGGGCTTGGCATGGTGGTTAACAACATGGGAGGTCCAATTCGGAGGATGTGAAGGAGGTGGCAACGAGACTGTGGGAGTGGATGGTGATGTAAAGAATTGTGACGATGGGGGTAGTGCTGGTGAAGATGAGGTTAGTTCTGGTGCGCATGAGGTTACCGATAGACAGTTTGTCCAATACATGCAATTTGAAAGTGACTGCAATTTGATATGAGTCACACATTTTCTGAATCTTACACGGTGTCTTCTATCTTCGCTCTGATTGCTTTGTCTTTGCGCAGGCCTTTCTGCTTCTCCCCGAACAGTCACACGTAATCCAGGTGAGACATCGTCTCCCATGCTTCTGTTGCGACTCTCGCAACTACCTCTGTTAGAAGGACAAAAGAGGCAAGCATTGTGACTGAGTGATTGTTATTATCATCTTATAATCTGAACAGACGTTTCCCCTCGCGTTTGTTTATCTTTCCACATGTATCCTTTACTCTCCGTCTTACCATGTTTTTCTTTTCTTTTGGAGGTTCTTTGTACTAAATGCTCATGCATTCAGTAGATTTAGTGTAACAAGGAAGAATAACCTAGACAGTGTGGTTGATGGTGCACAGCACGGTGCGCATAAATCTGAAGCAAACTGGAAAATGGAGAAGCTGAGCAACTTTGTTTACGGAATTAGGGAAGCGAATTTTTTATGAGAGACATGCATGAACCACGCTTGAACGGAGTGCTTGTTTGGTGGATGTAAAACAAATTTGTAATGACCACTTGAGGTGCAGTTGTTTGTTGGATAAGGGTTGCAGTTCAGCAACGTTAGGGCAATGCACCCCAGACCATTGTACTCATTATCCCCCTTCACGTTCTGCCTTGTAACAACTTGTCACTTTCACATCGCATTCCTTTCTCTGTAATTCAACTTCTGAGCACGTCACAGCCTATGGCCTGCAGCTATCAACGAACACATACATGCCAGCACGGGCCAGCCCCTTTCCGCGCTACGTGAGTGCGGACTACCGTGTTGCGCCCAGCAAGCAGGACTCGTGGTTCATCAGCGACTTCCACTCCTGGGACTCCGTGCCCTTCCTCGGCTGGCCTGTCAAGGACCAAAGAGACTGCAGTGAGTGAAACCAATGGGAACCAATGGGAACATATTGGAGCTGATAGCTCGGCTGGTTTGTAATGGTTAGTTGCTACGATCTGCATCTTTCCATTTGCTGTTCTTCTGCTGGTCACTTTTGCACAATAATCAGGTCAATATGTGTCTCCATCATTTTTCAGCCATCATCGCATCAGCTTCAATTATTCACGAAACAAATTTCATCATACGCAGGTGCTTGTTGGGCGTTTGCACTGGTGGCGAGTGTGGAAGCGGCATACGGCATTGCCTTGAATGCAGAGGCGCCGCAGCTGTCAGTGGAGTCACTCTTTGCAGCCATGGGGCTCACCTCCGAAGCTGACAAGTGCAGCACGGGGGGCTCCCCCACCGAGGCGTTGGAAAGGCTTCTCATGCTGCCTCGCGGTGGAGTCACAGAGGTTGGAGCGCCTGTGAGTAGTGTAGTGAAGTGTGATTCCAGAATGTATTGATTTTTATGAGATATTTTGGGAACCTTGAAGTGGTGTGCGTGATGTTGAGAGAGTTGCGACTATACTTCAACCGAGTCGTGATGATATGAGGACTCTCTCCGAGTCGTTGAAGCCACTGGCGTTGGTTGCAACTTATAACCGTGTTGAACTAATTTTCTGTTAGCATACGAGTGCCCCTGAAGTCTCATACACAGTAATAGGTTGGCCGGATCGGGGCCAAGAGACCAAGTTATGGCAGCAAGAGGCAAACAGCTTCTACCAAGCATGATCAACGGTCAGCTCAGGTCGGCTTGCCACGAGCTGGAAGAGGGCCGAGCCAGACTTGAAGGTTCGATAAAACATTTAGAGGGCAACATATAGAGAACAGAATGTATATTCTAATCATTTTGTAATGCACCCAACATTCTAGTGCCTCCTATGATTTGCCGCCACCATTTTCAGCAAGCAAACTTTCCTTTTCCATCGTGACCTCCTTTTATGTTTCTTTCTCTTCCTTCCTATCTGTAATTAAATCCCATTTGAGATGTTCATCTTCAGAAAAAGGAGTACCCTATTCATGGCTTTGAGCGCACAAGGTTCAAGGGGTTTGTGGGGCTCATGCTGGCAGTGCGTCGACAGCCAGTGGTGGTTCACATCGAGGCTTCTGCTCTGAGTTTTGCACAATATGACGGGGTGGGTGTTTCTTGCGTTGACCCTTCATGATGTGCACAAGTTGTCAAGACTTGTACAGAAGTTGTTGTCCGCATTATCCTGTATGCCAAAAACCAACCCAGGGTTGTACACAAGTTGTTACCAGCATTAAGCTGTATGCCTGAAGTGGTTCTTTGTTGTTTGTTGTTTCATCCCTCCATAGCTGTTGTGGTGCCCCCTTTCTCTTCAGACCTTCAAGTACCAGGATCCTGGCTGCTATACCGGCAGACTGGACCACGTTGTACTCGTTATTGGATACTTCATCTTGAGAAATGACGGCAGCCAAAATCGCATAGCACCTCCATTTTGGATCATCCGCAACTCGTGGGGAGTGGAGTGGGGTGACTGGGGCCACATGCGCATGGACATTCAGGGAGGGGATGGCGTGTGTGGCATCAACGTGCTGCCTGGCATCTACCCCATTGTCAAGAGTAAGGCATCTATCTCGAGGTGTTGAGTGAGGCATCTATCTCGAGGTGTTGAGTGAGGCATCTACCTCATTGTCTTGAATGGGGCACCTTCCCCCATCGCTCTCTCCATATCTCAGTCCCCCCCTTCCAGTCCATCACAGAGTCTTTGGGGCAGGGTGAAATTTACAGAACAATTATGTAATCAATCTTTAGTCTAGGGGATGGCCTAAAATTTTGTATATGGAACACAGTGGAATGGAGGCATTGTCAACAGAGAGAAGAGAGTGTGAGCCAGTCACCAATCACCAACTCACGGTTTCCAGATTTCACACCTGCCATTTGCCTAAGGCTTGCCTTTTCCTGCCGCGGTCGTTTTCAATGAGTTTGCACTCGCGCCTGTTTCTACACCTCCTGCTCCTATCTGTTCCCCCCTCCAGTCCCCAAGGACCCTTGCGGCTAGAGGAGCTTCAAGGGTGATGGCGACTTGCAGCCCAGCATGAATCCGTGTGGGCGGTTCACATGCCGGGCTAACTTACGGAACAACAGCAATTCGTGTGACTGTTCCATTCCAAACGAATCTAAGCAGCCATTTGTTCAAGTTGCGAACGGATATGGCTCTCAAACGTGTGCTTACTGTAAGTTGTTTGGTTCAAGTTCTCAAATGATAACTTTGATTCATAGCCCTTGTCAGAACAATGGCCGTTTTCGGAACAATGGGCTTGTTTGATCTTCAGATATTCTTTCAACCAAGTCCCTGTCTATATCTTTTCGTAGTTCTGTCTCTCCTTCCCCCTACTCTTCCCATTGCTCCCAACACATGTATCTCTCTCACCACTGTGCTCCACAATTGTGTTAATGTCGCTTGGCAGTGGACGTGTGTGGGTCTGACTTGAAGAACCCATGCTACGTGGGCGCATGCATCAACGACGGCAAGGGCTCCTACTCCTGCATCTGCCCACCCAACTACGTTGAAAGCACAACAATTGACAGCTTCCCCACCTGCGACCCAGGTGCTGCTGCCTTGGCATGGTTTGTAAGAGGTTTGCTACTTCTTTGGGTTCATATGTTGGGGTCATTACAACCCCTGCGAACTGCTTTCACTGTCAATTCTTGTGATGCACGCACAACTAGTAGGATTTACTTTTTTAACACTTACTTATGGGTGTATCTCCTGCTTTCACATTCGTCGCTTTCCAGCCAACGTCACAGCCAGCACCCTCGCCGTGAGTGGGAGCAACTGGTGGTGCCCCGATGTCCTCTCTATTGTGGGCCTCTCACTTCCCCAATTCACACAGCAGAATAAGGTAACCAATGGAGATGGGGGGGTTGGACGAGTGGATAGGCAGGCAGGGCTTGTGGTAGATCAGGAAAATCGAAGTTGTTGGTTCCTCATAATGGAATTTTAAGCCCCATAGCTGCTTATCTACACATTATAAAATTGTCAATGTGTAAAATGAAATCAGTCACAAAAACAATATTGCTACACCTACACTTAATAGCTGAAGCTTCCTGCGTCCATTTACTTGCTGACCCATCATGCAAACGATGTGCCATCCCCTGAAGAGGTGCCTAAAGAATCGTGTGTGCTCCTCATTGCAGGGCATTGACTGCAATCAGGCTTTGCCTCGTGACATGGTGCTTCAGCTGGGAAATCCTGTCCTCGTTCCCTGCACTGCGTTCTTCTACACCCTCAGTGTGAGAGTTAGCCCTTTTTGTTTTTCTTCGTTGAATGGAAACTGATCAAATCATTTTTCTAGATTTTCCCTCAATGCTTTGCTTAGCTCCGCAAGACTGCCGAATAGTAAAGCTGCGTTCCATTCACCTCAGGCATCTGTGCCTTCTCTCCCGTTATTCAACCCTCCAGGGCGACACATGCTGGTCCATCAGCGCCCAACTGTTACTCAGCACCAGCAACCTCACGGCACTCAATCCCGGCCTTGACTGCTCTGAGCCCATCAAGGCGGGCCGCTCTCTGTGCGTCGAGCGCAACGCCACCTTCGCCTTCACTGTGCCTCGGTGCCTACGTTGCGGCGTGCTTACAGCACAGGACACGTGTGAACGCCTGCTGCTGGAGGCGGGGAGTGAGGACGACCCAACGGGGGCTGGGAAGGTGAACGCTGTGCGCTGGGCTGAGCTGTACCGCAACAATCTCGGCCTCATCTGCTCGAGTGTCATCCCGGTCTCCGCATCTGCTATTGGCAGCAACACTGGCGTGCAGGTGAGAGGTGGAGGTGAACTGGGTTGGGGGCGCAAGAGATGGGAGGGAAATGGAGGGAAGATTGGTGGATGGACCAAACGAACACTTGATGGATGTGGGGGCAAGGAGTCATTTCTCATATGCCAGAGTGGTGTTTTTTCCAACTATTTGCCCTTGATTGCCTGTTGAGTGTGTGCCTATATCCTTCTCTCAATACATGTTTTTTTTCATTTGTTGTGTTTGTAAATGTCGCCGTTCAGATTTGCCTAAGGGCAGAGTATTGGTCATTCGTCGTTGGCATATGCAAGAAGGGCAAGCAAAAGCCAGTGTCACCGTCATTGACATGCTCAGGTGCTTACAGTTTTTATGGTGGAGCTGCCAATGGAGCAATTTCAAAATATTACGTGTACAATGAGAAGAAGTGTGTTGGAAGTGTAGGGTCCAAGTTCATTTGTGTGCCATGATTAGGAGCTCAGGCGGGTATGGGCCAGGGACTACGTTTGGATTTCGACTTCTCTGATTAGCAGTGTAGCCTTTTCAGAAACCCTGATTATCAGCCTACGTTGTTGAGGTTACTTCTAATCATTTGTGTAACCACTGTTTTTGAAAAAATTACCCCGAGTCAACAGTGTAGGATTTTTTTTTTTTTTTTAATCCTGATTCTACTCTAGGCAATTGACTATGCGTTGGCAGCAAACCACAACACGATTCCTGTTTTTTCTAGGCTGGAGAAATGACAACGCAGGTGGGCTGCAAGTAGATACGGAGGTGGGGGGGTGTTGCGATGAGAAGTTTTATCGTGCCAGGATTACCGCAGGAAGTTTCGCAGAGAGTTAATTGCAGCGGAAGTAATGTCGCGGATATTTGCTGACCATTGAGGGGAACAAAATATCAGAGGCAACAAGAGTGCGTGATTGTAAGTGAATTACGATTCGGGATGAGGCTCATGCCACATCAAGGCAGATTCAAGCGATGGCGAGTACACAACGGTCACATGGGGGGAATGAGCAGCAGTACCAAGGGCTGCACCGTACATAAATGTACTATATCAGTGTCCATGGAAGGGTGTACTTGCGAATGATGGGAAGGGTGTATGGTGGGCTTGTTTCTTTCGTGTAAATGGAATCTGTTTCTGGCAGGGCGAGGGCTGCTAACGCGTACGCGGCCAGCAGAACCAACAGCTGGCAAAGTATGCAGGAGACCATGCGGGCCAAGCTCATAGCTGGCTCAAGAACCAAGTAGGAGCTCATGCAGCCGCAAGCTGCTGGCGGCTTGTAAATAGCCTGGGTGACCCCGAGCCTCGCCCTATTGTGACGCTTGTTTGTCTGATTCTGCTGAAGGAGGCTAGTGCTAGGGTGTAACCTCATCTTGTACATAGGGTCAATCAAACCCTAGAGCTAGGTGCTTCGTCGTATGTTTTCTGCTTTTGTAAATGTAATCCTGTTAAACCAAACATAGGCAACATAGTTAGGCGGAAGCCATGAAGCCGACAGTACCGTATAGTTCCGGCTAGAAGACCCGCCGTTAAGAAGGTAACTCGGGACTCTTGAATGGGTAGGGGGACTCGCAGGGCCTCAGAAGTCAGCGAAAAAAGGCTGATTTGGGTAAAAAAGGCTGAGATTTCAGACCTTTTTTAGAACTGTGGCTGATTATTCAGCATTTTTCTATGAAAAAACAGGAAAATTTATGTGATTTGTAGTGTAAACTGGCATATAATGGCAGATTTTTCTGATTTTTAGCATAATTTTTTGGACCTACTCTGATTGGTTCAGCCTAGCTCAAAACCAATCTGAGGCCCTGGGGACTCGTATTGTGGCAGGTTTTGTGAGGATCCCCCTTTTGCCTCTAATTATCATAAGACCCCCCTTTTATGTATACAGTAGTAGCAATTGCTATTGAGAGTCAGCTTTTACTGGCACAGATTCGAATTCTGACAAGCATTTTGTGTCAGACTCGAATTCTTTGTGTCAGCCTCAAATTCTGACAGAAATCTGACGCGCCGCTCGCGCGAAATTTGGACGCGAAGGTTGTTTTTCGTTACGAATATAGGACCCCCCCCCCCCCCCCCCCCCCCCCCCCCCCGTTCGAAATTGAGCCGTACACCCTAAATAACAGATTGATATATGATAAATAATTGTACCCTAGGTCTTAAAAAATTCTTGCCGCCATAATGTCCACCCAAGCATAAATTTAAGCATTTGTAGAGCGTCCCCCGAGTCTTATAGCCGGAACTATACGGTACATGGGTTAGTGAGGTGTTCTAACATACGACAAAGAAAATCTCACCGCTATCATAAGAGACGTTAGTACATGCAGTTATGATCCTGCAATCGCTACGAGCGACCACCAGAACCGCCAGTGATGGCAACTCCGGGATGGCGAGCGGGAGAAGCAGGGGGAACCGGAGCGAGCGCCCAGTATATCGGGTCCGTGGGTGGGTTACCACGGGAGCCATACACAGCGCCGCATTAGAGCCACAACATGAGCGACCTGCTGAGCGGAGGCATTAACGTGCGGGAGAGCACAACGGGTCAGCCGCTCGCTGAGGTTCGTGTGACCGAAGACCCGCTGCTGAATATGGGGAGCCGAGGAGGAGACGTCGCGGACAACGAGCTACTGCGGCAAACAAGGAGACTGTCTATGTTGGAACATCACGACACGGAAGTCACGGGTACAGCCGTCGACAAACAAGGAGACTGTCTATGTTGGAACATCACGCCAACAAAATTCGAACTGTCCGAACGCTTCGCGGGGACTCCTGGCGTGGGCAACACCTTGAAGAAGTATATGATGCAGATCCGCAACGCGCAGTATTGATGGATGAAGGATGGGCTGGAGCCGGAGGACTTCCTCGAAGGGCTCTCTAACATGGTCACTGGAGAGGTAGAGACGGCGTATGACATGGAGCTCGAGCGCATGCTCAGCGAACCTACCCAGGTGAGCAGGAGTCACTTGGGAGGTGTGCAGATATAACTTAATCAACGGGAGGCAGAGTGCGGGCTAAACACGGGGTAGGAGTGATCTCTGCGTTCGTTCGTTAGTCGTTTCCTTGCGTGCTCACTACTTGTTGGTTCACGGGGGAAATTGGCAAGAGTTTCACTAGGAAAAGTGGACAACAATGGTACAGAATAATTAACAACAATGTTGGCAAGGTTGAATACATCAGGGCTAGAATGCAAGCAGGATGACTGCCAGCGCAGCACGGTCGACCGGGTTCCAGCACGACTTGGCCAACCGCGCTCCAGCAGTGCAAAGTTGCGGCCCGCCAATACTGCAAGTCGACGGCATGCCAACGCTGTAGCAAGTCGGCTGCACAGCGTTGCACCCGTAGGACAGCAATGCTCCCGCTTCGCAGGTGCGCGCAGATGATTGGCGGGCTGTGTCTTGTCACCTGCGCAAGCACCAAATTGTCACCTGATCGGCCACGTCGACCTCGGGATACCACCAAGGTCGACATCACCAACACCACCTAGGCGACTGTCGCAGTCCTCCGCAGAACTCCGTCGCCCGGGTAACCTGGTCGACCGGGCAACCACCATGTCAACCAGCTCCTCCTTGTGCCCGTCGACCACCCAGGTCAACGACCACCCTTGGTCAACCACACCAAGTTGACCGCGCACGTGGTCGACCCACCCCAGGTCGACCATGATCCTAGTCGACCATCTCAAGGTCGACCAGCATACCTGTCAGCCGACCACCCAAGTCGGCATCACCAAGTCGACGCCCTCCACAGGTCGACCTCCCAGGTCAACCTCCCGAGGTCGGCGCCCTCCGAACTCGGCGCCCTTGCAGTGGCCCCCGTGTAGGCCGACCAGTCTCGTTGACCAGCTCGCCCACTAATGCAGGTCGGCTGCACCTCCCGTACACCCGTCCACGAGGTCGGCTCCGCCCAAGCGAGGGACGGGGCCAACAACGACTCCCGTTGACACTCCCCAGCCGCGATCATGCTTGGGCCCCTAGCCCACACGGCAGCACCACTCGGAGAATAGCTCGTCAAAGTGCACCCAACACACAACACGCGGGTCACCGCACCAGCCATGCAAGAGGGCATGGCACCTACTGCTGCACGTCGTCGTCGCCGTCGCCCACGTCGGCTAGGCGCACTTGGCCGATTGCGACGGAGCACCGGTTGAAGGCCAGGTAGTGCAGCGCCTTCGTCAGGAAATCGGCCGGCTGCTCGGTGGTGTACTTTAGAGAAAACTTCCCGCGCTTCACCATGAGCTACAGCCAGGCCTGTCGCCGCTCCATGTCCTTGAGGTTGCCCGTCAACCCCATGCCCTCGGCGACGCCGACTTGTTGTCTACCCGAATGACAGTCGGTGTCTCGGCGTCCAGCTGCCGGAACTCTGCAAGGAGGAAGCAAAGGCGACATTCCTCCTTGCCAGCCTCAGTGGCCGCCAAGTACTCCGACTCGGTTGACGACAACGTCAACGTCAGCGGACGCAGGTCGACCACAATGGGCGCACGTCTCGTTGTAGTCAGCGCCGTACACCTGCGTGAAGCCCTTCACAACCAGCCTCGCCTTCTCGCGCTCGACGGTGTCATCGATGTGGTATTTCGTTGTCAGCACCCACTTGTTCTTCATGATGTTCACCCTGGGTGGGCGTTCGACCAGCTCCCAAGTCCCCATGTCGATGAGGCTGCGGATCTCCTCCTCGATGGCGGCCTTCACAACCTTGCCCTTCCAGCTCGCCAACGCCTCCTTCACCGTCATCGTGGAGATGTCCCAGAAGTGCTCAAGGTTGGCACGCATGTCCGGGTCGAGCTCCAGCAGTTCTTCATCCTCCTCAGCGTCATCGTAAAGCAGGTCGTCGTTGACCTCGTCGTACACCATGGTGAAGGCAGCCGGTACGAAGAAATCTAGCGGCCTCCGAATTCGGCCTGACTGTCGTGGTCCAGGCTGAACCTCCACCACGTCGCTATCAGTGACTTCTCGGCGCCCGACTGCTCCCCCCCATCGTCACCGGCTCCGCTGCCCTCGTCTTCCTGCTGCACCTCAGTCGGCTTCCATGCTGAATTCTCCCCTGCGGTCATCTCCCCTGCTGACTGCCCGGTCGCCGACTGCTCCGTGGTCGGCTTCGCTGCTGGCTGCTCCTTCGTCGGCTCCACCAACATTGGCTGCACCTCCTTTGCCTGCCGCTTCTTTGTCGGCGTCAACTTCACCCCCACGCCGACTTGCTCAACGCCACG